ATTTTTATTTGTAAGATGAGATTTTATAATTACGGGTCCACTACAACCACATTGTATGCAGAAGTGATGTCTATGTCTAATGTTAGAAGAAGTTGTACATGTATATGTGCACACAATAGTTCTCTTTCTTCCTTCTTGCCATCTTTTTATCTCATTTTCCTTTCTCTCTACCTTTCCCTTTTCCTCTCTTCTCTTCTCTTCTCTTCTCTTCTTTTCTCCCTCTTTCATATCCAGTTTGTGAGTTGATAATCAAAAAAAAAAATAAATAAATAATGATAATAATTGTTGGACAGGTACTACGGACAAACATGTTGGATCTGTGATATTTTCACTTCCTTGGCTTATAAAAAGTAAAGCATGATATTTGGTAATATGAAAATTGGTTTGGTACTTGCTCAGGTGTAGTTAAAGTGTAATACTCAATATATGTATCTAATATAGTGAAATGAGATAGTTTTAATGTTATGTTCAGAAATTAAATGATACAAAAGTCAATATTTTGTTCTGTAGTTTACAATGCAAAAAATCTTGTCACAAGGCAGCCCCCCCCCCCCCCCCCGCCATTGATTTTTACTATTTTAGTGCCCTTGCATGCACATCTACAGATGTATGCCTGATACAAGTGAAAATTGTCATTGATATGAAATTAATGAATGGGAAAAAGAAGGTAGGTCAATATATAATATATAATAGAATATATAAAAAAATTGTTAGTCCACTGTAGTTCAAAAGTTTGTTGTTACTTGTACATGCAACAATCTTGCTACAAACTATATGAATATTGCAACTATATGTAGTATCTCTCATGTAGCAGATTACTTTATACAAATTACCCTTCTCCCCATAGTGTTATCACCAAATGATGAGGGTAAAGTGACAATGGCCAAAACAACCTGCATACCCTACTCCTGTCTGTTAAGCAGTTATAACACTTTCCTTCTGCTGCTTTGTTGAACTGAGACTTGGGGCGGTTTGAATTCTTGCTATGTCTGGGTTGGTGGGTGATCGAACTTTAGTGTGCAGTTATTAACCCAATACCAACGGGTATGACGTGTACGTATGTGCTATGCCCACTGTAAGTACTTGTTTGATTGTTTTTACACATAGATGGCTACACTTGTACTAAGTCAACAATGAGCCAATTACAAGTACTGCCTGTCTCGCCCATTTACCCTTTTCTTACAAAATATTTTACATTATCTTATTTTGCATGCATGTTAAAAAACATTATAATAATTATAATGTTTATAATAAAAATAACACCATCGATATTCATAGCACTACTAAAAAATACGTTTTTCCCACCATTTCAAATCAGGTACGGTCACAAGGTCTACTAATTGACTCCTTTGTGGCTAAGCACTAGCAGAGCCATCTATGGGCCGACATTTCACAAAAGATATAGAAAATAAGCACAGCATTTTCCCCATTTTATGTTCATTTTCACCAGTTACATTGGGTTACACAAGTAAGCAGGTATTAAAATTCTCTCAAGAGCTAAGAGGAAACTAGATAGGAGATTAAAGGAGGCTAGTGGATAGGTAAGCAGGTATTGGAAAGGTCTCAAGAACTAGAAGGAAAGTAATTTAAAAGAGGGCCAGCGGATGGGCTTGGGGCAATATCTTCCTTGACCAAAGAGGAAGACCAGGTCAGTCTAAAGACTGGACCAAATTCTGGTGTAGTAAGAAGGGACAACCATTATATAGTGGGAAACATGATGACGTGGAAAGATCGGGACATGGAAATAACACTAGGATCGCACCCAATTCAGATAGTAGTAACGGCATCCTCACCCACAGCCAGCTCCAGGGCCCCATCCTCTTTTTTTTGTGTGTGTGGGTGCGTGCTTGCGTGTGTGTGTTTTTGTATGTATTCTGTAGATGTACTTGTGATTTTTTTTTTTTTTTTTTTTTTTTTTTTTTTTTTTTTTTTTTTTTCTTAGGAGGGATTATATGGCTGGCTGGCTTGGTTGCTTGCTTGCTTGCTTTAAGCAACTGGTGATATATCTTGCCTGAGTCATGGTGTATATTCTGAGTTCATTTCAAATGTGTATTGAGTTGCCTCCAATTTGAGGGCTAAACATTGGAGGTTTATGGCATAAACAGTCAGTCATGGGTTTCTTAGATTGTCCACACAATTTGGAAGTTGTTTAGTAAGCCCTACATGACCACCTGATTTTCCTCATTCTTTGAATTGTTGCTGAGGTTTTCCTAATTCTATTGATATTGTTCATTCCAATAATCAAGGTAAAGGGTAAAGCAGGTAAAATTGGTGACTTGCACACTTGTGGATCCTTCTGTGTAGTTACAAATAATAAGCTAAATTTAATTGACATGGCATTTATATCATACCATCTGCAGCAAGTAGGTTCATCAAAGTACTCAAAACTGATGCTCTGTTTCGCATGGTTGCACTTGGAGGATGATATATGGCATGTGTTCAAAGATATTTGTGCACACTGGACAAACTGCTTCTGAGGCATCCAAATTAGGGATATTACGAATGTCAATTAGTTATTTAAAATTACCTTTTTCATTGAAGTATGGAAAAAAAAGTTGTCTCCACTATGCATATAAAACTGAATTTGGCATTCCTTTAGGGTGGGGTTCTTTTATTCCTTGTTGGGGGTATGGGTCTTGCTTCCAAGATGTACGTATATATTTAATGTATAACAATATACTTTGGTAGAATGTTACTATTATTAACTATCACTGTTATTTTGGCATTTTAAAACCAGAATTAGGTGCTATCCTAGACTTTTATGAAGTGTATAAGAAGCAACTGACAATCTCTCTAAAACCAAGTGATATTTTGCCCTCCATCACAAATTAGTACACGATCGCATTACCTTTGTAATACAAGTTTGAGGGTGTGGGACCGCTTTGGGCAATCCAGTGAGGGTCAAGATTCCCTGCTTTAGGGATTCGTCAATACCCGGCATAGTTTTGAGACAACCCCAATAAAACCCTGAAGGATAAGAAAAGAACAGTTTTCTTCCATGTTACTGTATATTCTTTTTTACTCACTAAAAGAGCAGCACAGATTCTATGTTACAGTATCACCCTGATAAGTACATTATTTATGCAAGAAACTTGTCATCATTCTAGTTTCTTGTTTTAAGCTCCATAATCCAGATAATGTAATACTTCACCTTTATTTTACAGAATATAATAAAGCACATAGCAACACTACCTAATCAGCATTTTTTTTTTTTGTTTAAATTAATATCATATAACATATTAGTAAATCAAGAACCATGTGAAAAAGGACTTCTAATCCTATTTTTTTTTACTGCTGCATTTTTCTTCTTTTTGAAAGTACCAATACCTATGTTTGTATCTTATGTAAACTTAGGAAAGTGGGGTGTGTGTTTGTGTGTAAGTGCAAATGTAAAAGCACATATAATGATGCAGTAACCTAGGATATAAACAACATTATCTGGACTCAGTCTAATATCACTATTGGTACCAAGCAAGAACTCTTAATTTAGAAAATCATCAGAATATATTCCAAATTATGGGTCATGGACGTTAAGTCTATTTTCATATCTAAACTTTAGTTAGAAATATATGTCTTTATTGCTTGTCAACTTTCAATGCATTATCCTACCCTTAAAAAAGCCATATTTGTTTTATTTTCATCTAAACTTGTCAACATTTCCAGTATCAGATGGGGGTGGAGTCATCTTGGTCTTCTCGAAAAAAGTTTTTATTTTATGGTTAAAATATTAATAACAAATGACACCATTAAAAAAACAAGGACCTTGCATTTTATAGTATTGACAAAACCAATTTACAACTTAATATAATAATTCAATATTCTTTATTCATTAAAACCTTAAGCTAAATTCACCTTCACAAATAAATTCAAGGTGATGCTATGTAAAGAAATGAAGAGAAAAAGAGGACTTAAACAACATATGTGAAGAGAGAAAAACGAGAAATATTCAAGAACATTATTCATCAAAATGACCAGCCCCTAAAATCCTAGCTGTAACAAGTACACTTTCCTACTCTTACCACACATGTACCTACCACCAGGGCACCAGTACAGCAATCAAGAATACTAGTTGCAGATCTACTACAACTGTCTTAAAACAATGGTGTTGCCACTGTGTATGCATTAATGACAGGGTGTATCTTATGTCTACACATAAGATATACACATCCTTAAGGGATACACAAATTTCTCAAGAAATTAAAATACATAAATACTCTACAGCCAGTTTTATACACTAAATATCACTCAAACCTATAAATAACTTGGCAGAGAGATCATATCAAGCTGGTATACAAGAAGAAGCACATATCACCAAATTTATCAGCACAATTTTCATTAAAGGGAAATGCACAATCATGTTTTACTTAGGGTGAGGCACACAAAACTTCCCTTTTTTTTGTTTTAGTGAGAATGCCCACAACGGCTTCTAAGGAAAGTAAAAACTGAAGTAAAAATCCTTTTAAAGGCTTAAAAACATACCAAGAACAGAAAACACTCTTTCAGGTCAAATTCTAGTCATCTTACAAAAAGTATACATTAAAATAATAAACTACGGTGGGAGATATCATTACCCATCATGCAACCTTAATTAAAGCATTTACTTTTACTTTACATAATTTTTTTTGCAATTACCAACGGAAATTAGTTTCGTATTAATGAAAATAAATATATCCTTGCTAGAGAACTATGGGTGCATGTTGGCCCCAGGCAGCCCAACGCCAACACTAAATCAAAAATGTAGTTTTGAATCTAAAAATTACAGCAACAAAGTTGACCTGAAATTGCTGTGATAAACAAAATTGGCTTCCCATTCTCTCTATACAACAATTTACGATCCAATTTTTATCCAGTAACATTCTTATTTAGAATAATAAATCTTCCTATGTTCAGCCTTAGTATTTAAAATTACCAAAATCAGCAATAACTACAATATCATTTATAACAATCTCTTATGATATGGTTGGACTAGACTAAACGTGCCTAAAGACAGTCACTGGACAACTTTAAGATTGCTGACAATTCAATTTTTTCCCAAAAAAAATCTAATCAAAGACATGAATATACATATCAAATTTTAGCTTCCTTCTCCGGCAGATAACAATGAAGCATGTATACTATCAACTGAATAAAATAACTAGACAGTTGTACAGTTTCTGCAATAGGTTTTTTTTTACTGATTTCATTTAATAATTACACTATAAAATGGACTTCAGTGATCTACACTGAGTTTTAACAATGTGCAAGCATGTACATATGCATACACAGACCTTACAACAATACTAAACATGTGCATATAGAGGCTTTTTCTTAATTCATATTTTATGCTAGGCCCTACACTAACTCTTCGTACTTGTTTTTAAAATATATGGAATTACTATAGTATTACCAATATCTCACATTCAGCTTTCTCTCTGGTGATAATCGTTTGCTCAAGTCATGAATTCTGGTTGGTGAATGATGGATGATAGACCTTTATGGAAGACGGGGAAAAAGACGCCTGTTTGACACCTTACAGGGGACATCATCTTAGAGTTTGACTCACTAATTGATCACACAAATTCTCTGTTCATCACAAGAACAAACAGTTTCACATTTGATTTCTTGGTCTCATATTTCAAACATTTCTTGAGCATTCCCTAATGGTATAGTAAAATAATACATGACCCTCTAAACTTTCGTAAAATCATGTTATCCTCTCTGCACAATACCTATTCTTATCAAGTCTTCATAGAAGCTACAGTTATAAGAATGTTTAGGATTCTTTTTTTTTCTTTTATTTTATTCATTCCTCTTCTTGGGGACTCCTCTGCACTTTAGGGATTTTCATGAGGAGTTCCTATGAAAGCTAACTTTTCTCTACACTGAGCTGATGGTCTGTTTACTCAATCTATTAGATGTATTTCTACATTACTTACATATATGATCATTTGTATTTTTTTATTGTACCATTTCATTGAGCAAACTTCTTTTTAACTATGTAGAAACAAATAAAAAATAAAGTAATCCAATTGTCTAAACAAGACATTACTGAAAGTGAGCCAAGCTCAAGACTCGCATCTTTCTTGCTGATAAATCTATGTAAAAACTAGACTATTTTCTGTGTGAAAATACTAAAATACTCACAATAGAGGTATATGCCAAGAGGTATTCCCAAGGAGGGTACCGTTTCACAGAACATCTTCAAAAAATAAAATGCAGACATCCTAAACTCCTTTTTAAGAATATCAATCATGCTTCCAATTTCCAGAAACAAATATTTGGTAACATGAATTCAGAACCCTTAATGCCAAATGTAACAGAGTGATGGTTTCTACATAAAGTCTGACCCATTTCACAAGGAAGGGCTTCCATTCCACTAGAGACATGTGTACAATGCCAAAAGCACCAGCTGGGCTCTACCATTACGAAACGTTTGTACCTATTGCTTTTGAGGTGATAGGAGCTTCTCTATTATCACTGGTACATTTTGTGACAGTTTGGCAAGAGCATTCTAAAGTCTACATTAATCATTATGCGGGAAGTCAGGCAAATTTGATACTCTGAACAACAATGATAAATTCCTCAAAATTTTCAATCCATGAAAAATACCCTGTAACTATCCATTCCACATCAGAATTCTTATGATATACATCCCCCATACAGTCTAAAATACCTGTGATTTGCATAAACCACAAGGATGGAAATACTTGGAATAACACCATCCACATCACATAATATGGAAAAGGATGATAACAATAGTGGGTCTTTCATGCTAAAAATTTGAAGATAGTACCAGGATATTTTCTTTTCTTTCTTTCTTTTCCTGATTTCTTTTTTACAGCAGCTATACTTAGCATTTACAAAAACCTGAAGATCCAAAATGTTTAGAATACTTAGGCTCTTTCTTAAAAGCAAAAAGAAAGAAACAAGAAAATTGATAAAGAATAGTTGTACTCTACTTCAGTTCAGTCAAGAGAGTGATTTCAACCCTGATTAAGAAAACACTTTGAACCCTAATATTCAATTCGTCAAGGTCAGCGGGACGGACAGGATGACGTCGCTGACTTGTTGGTGTTAGATGACAGGGAGGAGAAGCCACTCTGACAGGACTGAAGGCTTGTCATGGATCCCCTGTAGAGAGAGAGATTGCTATGAGTTACTATACCAAAAAGAAGAAGAAAAAAAAAAATAGATAAAATTATATGTCATTTATCCTCAAGAAGAATGTTTCAACCATGAAATATATTCTTTACCTATAGTCTGCTGACTTGAGAGTCTCATAGTAATACATAATCTTTGCCTTGGGTGCAGTTATGGTATCAATAATATCTAAGGGTGAGGTGTGCTGCGTAGACTCATAGTAGCGCCATTGTAATATGTACGTCCCCATGTGTGATGTCACATGAGACCCCTGAAATACAAAACGTTGATTAGATATTTAAATGCAAAATATTAGGCTGTCTAAGAAAATATATACACGTACACCCAAATTAAACATCAAGTTGTAAATGTATTACAATTTGACAGGGCTGCAGCAGTTTAAATGAATACAAACTGAATACCACATGAATGTGAAATCAAACAACTAAAAATAAAAGTCAATCAAGAGTTACTGATATACTATGCATGTGATTCAACCTTGAAATATATGAACTTCAAGGCAATAAAGTCGGCCCATCTGAAGTGCTTGACCTACAGGCTGCCAGCAACATACATGATCAAAGACCCGCCACCACCCAGTGCCAGTGACGTTTCTTTTGACGTTTGATCTGACATGTATTATGCCCCCTTTGACATCCACAGTAATAAATTTCTTCCCCCATACACTAAGGAAATATGGAAAGTCAACTGGCGATTGGAGTCAGTCACAAATCTAACTGGCAGCTTATGGGTCAAGATGAAGTCTATGATTCTGCAGAATACAAGGCACAACATTGATTGTGACATGAAATTACTCGGAATTTGAAAACAATATAGTAAAATTCTGTTTAGTTAATGTGCAGGCCATGCGTTCTACTAGATGACATGGATATATAACTACATATCTTTCAAGCCTCTGATAGACATATCTGACATTTAGGAATTAGTAAAAAACAAAAAGAAAGATTAGTAAGAAGAATACATAACATCTTTGTGAAAGTAAAACAAAGATGAACATATCCATGAGCATAGAAACCATTTCAAAGTACCAATTGCCATTTATAAGGAAAATCATCAGCAGTGTGTATTATCATCTACTGTATGCACAAAATAAAGTGATACAAAACATTTATTTTTTAAATGTTGAATAAGAAAGCAGAAGGATGCAGTGCAAATGCACAAAAGCAGAAGATTATGCATGACCTCTAGGTCACTGTCAATACAGTGGTGAAAAGAAAAAATTGTTAGTTTTTGTGATATCACTAATAATTTTTACTGAACATATTGTACTGATTTACATGAGATTTAGCATAATAAATGACACATATGTAAATATGTAATCTCATCATGGCAGAAAAAAATAAAATGTTTATGTATTCAAATATGCATGTCTATTCAAAGATTAACCCAATCACCATGGATTTATGCAAGTGCCCTGTTGTTTTCTGTGAATTTTGTTACACACAGATGGCTCCACATGTGCACAACCAGCAAGGAGTCTATCAGCAGGCACTAATGACTACTCCTGATTTCCCCATTCCTTGAAATTGCAGGAAAATGGGTTTTTCTTTCTAATACTATTGATATCAATACTGTTATTATTCTTATTGATATTATGATTATAAAATTAATAAAATGTTGGTAACATATTAAAGACAATGAAATAATACAATAGAAACTTTACAAAAATCAAGGAAAAGGGTAAATAGGTGAGATATGTAGGACTAATAACCAACTCCTTGGTGACTAATCACTTGTAGAGCCATCTATGTGTAAATACAATAAACAAACTTATATTACAGCGGGCATGGCATGTAGTCTTGCCATCCATGCCAATTGGGTTAAGAGCTAAATGAATATAGAGAGAGAGAGAAAGAGAGAGAGAGAGAGAGAGAGAGAGAGAGAGAGAGAGAGAGAGAGAGAGAGAGAGAGAGAGAGAGAGAGAGAGAGAGAGAGAGAGAGATTTGGTGTGTGTGTGTGTGTGTGTGTGTGTGTGTGTGTGTGTGTGTGTGTGTGTGTGTGTGTGTGTGTGTGTGTGTGTGTGTGTGTGTGTGTGTGTGTGTGTCTGTGTGTGTGTCTGTGTGTGTGTGTGTGTGTCTCTGTGTGTGTGTGTCTGCGGGTGTGTGTCTGCGGGTGTGTGTCTGCAGGTGTGTGTCTGTGTGTGTGTGTCTGTGTGTGTGTGTGTGTGTGTGTGTGTCTGTGTGTGTGTGTCTGTGTGTGTGTGTCTGTGTGTGTGTGTCTGTGTGTGTGTGTCTGTGTGTGTGTGTCTGTGTGTGTCTGTCTATAAATGAGTCTTGAGTAATCTATAGTAAGCATTTATAGTAATGAATTGTTGGTGTATAAATGAACCAGTGAAATAAAGTGCAATAATAACACAAGAGGACATATCTCACACATAAAATCATAAGCACACGCCAATGCACACGCAAGCACCCACACAAGCACACACCAACCACACCCACACCCATTCAACATTATCAATCTCTGTACATGCACACACAAATCACCCACACTCAGACCCACAGTTTAAGCAGGTGTACACATTCCTCTTGCATTATAACACATTGAGGTGTTTATGGGCCATAGAGAAGGAAGAACGTAGATCTGTGACACTCATTTTAACATCATTATCCGGTAGGCCTGACCTGAGAGCTTTCTCCTTCACGATAGACTCGCTGTAGATCCATACGGCAGGTTTCGTGCACATCTCGCTCATGAAACTTGGAAGAAGGGGAAGGGAAAAAATGCAAAAAAAACAAGAAGAATACAATGGAAGTAAGCAGCACAGGTATAATTAAAAAAAAAAATAGCTAGAAATCATCAACATACACGTAGGCTTTTACACAAGGGAATTAAAACATACAGAAAGCTTAAGACTGTTCAAGTGAAGTAGAAATGAAAATATTCTGTGGCAGAGGATTTTCATCACTACTTGGTTGCACTTGACAGGTTCATCACAGTAATTGGTCTGTAAGAATTCCTTACTGGCCAAACCACTGGATTATTCATTTCTTTTTTTCCCTTTTAGCTAGTTTTACTGCTCTACTGGAAATTCAGAGAAAAATTCTCAATACAGAAAACAAAATATTGTATACAAAATACTACTACTATAATCACACAATCCAGTGTTTAAGCTGATCACTTTAATGGTAGTTTGAAAGATAGCTTGACGCAAGACATAGTACAAGCAAGTAAAGTCTATGATTATTTAAAAGAATAGTCATTATTTCAGACAGGCTATAAAAGTGATTACCACACACACAAATTAAGCACATATAAAATCAACAAGAGACAAGGGTTTCAATCTCAAAAAACAAGAACACACTACCTACAAATCTCTATACAGGATAAAATCAAACTCTACTATTTCCCACTTTGAGTACCTTACACAGTATCAAACTAATCAGTGCTAATCTTCCTCTATTACATTCCAAACTTACCTATGGTATTCCAAGATCTTGTAATCAACGACAGAAAACCATAAATTCAACTATTCTTTGGGGTTTAAACCTTCTGTTTCTTATTATCTTATCCTTTCTTGTAAAAAAATTATGAATTTCAGAAATACAAAATTCTGGAAAAGGTCTAAAACAGATGGCTATTCACCCCAAAAATATCAACTTTGCAAGTTTTCTGCCTTCATTCTACAGGTAGCAACTAACCTGTATACTTTCTCCATCGTGACAAACTAGCTGAGGTTCGACACGGAAGTACTCATGACCTTCTCGCCAAGTCTTCTCAATCACAGAGCGATGCTGGTCGTCAGTGCCAATCACGGCATCGATCACACCCATTGCACCTTAAAAGGATTATGAAATAAATTAGATATGGAGAATAAAAACACATTTTACATATCATTCATTTACATGTAATCTTTGTACATGAAATGAATTGATGAGTAATTTATCATGAGTACATAAAACTACTCAAGATATACAATATTAATTCTCTGAAACATTAAAATAATCATGTATGACAAGCATTACCTGTAGGTGAGTGTGGCTCCTGCCGATTTGTGATGGGAACCTTGGTACGCAAAACAGAGAAAGTGACATCACTCTTCATGACATCAAAGTCCCAGCAGATAACTGAACCAGGTTCCTCAATCAACAGCACCACCTCATGCACCTGTGGAGTATCTCCATTTTAAAAGTCTTCTATTACCAAAATTGCAAGCATGCAAGTCTTACGATGGAAGATTTTACCATAATCATCAAGTAAGTGAATCATACTCTTAAATCTTGTAAAATGTATAAATAATCAAATAAAAATAAGAATAAGCATTCTGAATACAAAACAACATAATCCATGAAGAACTCTAAAAGAGCCTAACCAGTATGAAGTAAATCACACCGGTAAATTACTGTAATCTGACCCTCTTACACAGTACAACCATCCACAGCTGAAAGGCAGAGCCCCTACCTGTCCACGTCCTAGAGACACAGAGTGATAAACAGACTGTTCAGAGAGGAGGATGTGTTGCCTCGTTCCCTCAAACTCCTCTCCAGGCTGGTACATGCTCTTTGGCACCAAACCTCCCTCATGCACCATACTCTGTGGAATCCAAATGTTATTTATTAGACTATATAAATCAACTTCCATAACTTATGAAACATAACCTTTTTTCAATTTGTAATTTCATCTACAATTTGTATCAAAGACAGATTCATGTCAGAGAATTAGTATGCCTTTTCATCATATATTTCATACTTCTTTAAGTCACATTTATAAAATACTGATTTTCTTGACATCCATAAAATCAATAAAAATCAATTTTGAGGGAAAATTCCAAAGAAACAATTGAGCTGAGAAAAGTCTCTACTGTACTACAGATATTATCTATAGTTCCATTAGTTATTAAAAACAACACAAAGAGTAAACAAAACATAAGTCACACAAAAGATTAGCTTTCTGGTAATATTAATATCATGAAACCAATTCTTTAAAGATTAAATCACTTGTTAATTCACAAACTATTCAAAACTATAGAAAAAGCAGTGTTTTTTTCTTTCTTTCTTTCTTTCTTTTTATCTTTAACTTCTGCCCTTCCCTTGCCATCTCATCATTGTATATTTGCCTTTCTACACAAGTACTTTTCTTTAGAGCTAACATAAACTTACCAAAATTATCCACTCATATTACCACTTCGATAGATTTCAATGAGACTTATTGATTGTTATTAATACAAATAAACAAGTTTCATATCTGCATTAAAAAGAATTTCATCATCAAGTCAAAAAAATTAAATATTCAGTATTAAAAACACAGATTTTTCCTAGAGCCACTGCTGGTAGCTTGTTCTGATTCTGATATTAAAAAAAAAAATTCTGGCATGTTAGGTTCACAACAAAATGCATCACAGACACTGAACATGAACGCTCAATACAACTTTCAGAGCCTAAACAAAATTGTAATTAAGTACTGACCCTAAAAAAATCACATAATTATTATGAGGGTTAATGTGCAGAGCAGCTTCTAAAAAGAAAAAAAAAATGTATGACATATAGGAAAATTGACATTAAATCCATCTTACTCAAAATTACCACTTCAAAAATGGACAGTTTTATAGCAAATGGTCTGGTACTCGTATATATTTCCCCCCCTTTTTCTTTTGTGCATAAGAACAGTCATATTCTGTATTTCTGACAAACAAATTTCCCTCACTTATATCTTCATATACATTCCCATTAAAAAAAAAAAAAAAGGTTAACACAAAGGCATCTTGCCCTCACGAGAAAAACAATTTGATTGCCATTCTCTTGTTTCTAATTACTTTCTTAAATCTCCTATTAAACTGCTCCAAAAGTTCCAAATGAAACAGTTTAAATAATAATGGTAATCATAATCAAGCAATATGTGCTGAAAGAGTGAGAGTGAGAGAGTCCGTATGCAAGTGAGTACGTATGTGAGTGTAGTGTAAGTGTAAGTAACTATAGTGTAAGTGTAAGTAACTGTAGTGTAAGTAACTGTAGTGTAAGCGTAAGTAACTGTAGTGTAAGTGTAAGTAACTGTAGTGTAAGTGTAAGTGTAAGTAACTATAGTGTAAGTGTAAGTAACTGTAGTGTAAGTGTAAGTAACTAGTGTAAGTGTAAGTAACTGTAGTGTAAGTGTAAGTGTAAGTAACTGTAGTGTAAGTGTAAGTAACTATAGTGTAAGTGTAAGTAACTGTAGTGTAAGTGTAAGTGTAAGTAACTGTAGTGTAAGTGTAAGTGTAAGTAACTATAGTGTAAGTGTAAGTAACTGTAGTGTAAGTGTAAGTGTAAGTAACTGTAAGTGTAAGTAACTGTAGTGTAAGTAACTGTAGGTGTAAGTGTGAGTATAAGTTGAGTGTCCGTATGGGTGTGTGCACACTTGGGAGGGATGGGGCAGCAAAACTTAGTAAAAATTTGCTTCTTATTTCTTGATTTTCTTATACAAACAAAACATTTTAGAAGACAAATAAAAGAGCAATACCCAGTGCATATCACAGAATAAAATAAACCTCCCACTGTGAACAATTCCATAAAATGGCCAAAAAAGGAAAAAATAACTTATAAAATGTGAAAGTGTCCCTGAAACAATTCATATCGTATTTTCTTGAACTTCATTACCGAAAACTGGTGTTCTCTTGTTTCAAGCACGGTGATGAAACACCAAATACTCAGCTTGCTGTTGAATCACATGACTTTAATCCCAACAGAGAAAACTTGATTACGGAGATTAACCTATAGATGTAAAGCCTTGAGACTGAACATCTTTCCTGATGGATAACCAAGTTCTTAGAATTTCAATGGCATGAAAAAGATAAATTTCAAACACCACACTGAGCATTCTTTCTTCATTGTGTGAGTAAGTTATGCAAACAAACCAACTTCCAAGATGACATCACATAACATATATAAAAAGGTCTAATGCATTGATAATTCCATGCCATGAATATATCACTGCTAGACCCATTTTTCAGAGCTCTTAAGAAGTTTATTAACAACATACAACCAAAAACTTGATTATATAAATTATGTGATCATCTTGTGCTGCATTTAACATGTGTTAATCCTGATCTAGAGCATTAACCAAAGACAAAATTTGCTAGATGATTTTTGAATGCACCTTGTCGTAACACAATAATATTAACATCAGCAGAACATAAACATATTAAAAAAATCAAAGGAATGAGAAAGTGCACTTCCCATAGGCACATCTCTCACGGTAATTGTGCATGAAAATAATAGCATCTGGGTTGAGACCGGTGCATACAACAATGGATCTAGGGCTCCAGGGAATGCACGAGCCAACTAAACTCCCTTTCTTTCATCTCGCATTTTCCAATCCCTTACTCTAAGCTCCAGCTCGTCTGGGTACGTGACAGTGTACAAGGACTCGGGCACTGGGCCTAAGCGAGAAAGTGTGCTTCGCTGTTGCCAGTACGCCAACCACAATAGAAAAAGAAGAGACAGACAAGATATATATAGAGAAATGGTTATCCTGGCTGCTCAAATCCTTGTATTTAACTAGACATTTTAAAAAGCATAATGTAAACATATTTTCTGCTCTCCTTTAGGCAAGTTTAAAGGAAAGTATGCTTAGAGAAGTAGGTATGAGATTTCCTTCACGATTTTAAAATTGGAGGCTTATATGACATCATTGGTGCAGCTCTTTTACACGAACTTAGTTTATGTGCCTACTGACAAAAAGTATATCCAATTCAATGGTGTCATATAGAAATATTTTGTCAATCAGTAATGATACTCATAAATATATATATATATATACATACATACAATACTGACAATATGCATACCATTAAATATTTGCCTCACCTTACATTCACCTCCTAAGAAATCAGGGATATTTTCCTTTGGCATGTAGTCAACCAAGCCCCCTGGGCCCTGGTAGTCATTT